AAAAAATTATATGATAGTATAATAAAATTAAATATTACAATAATACAATAACTATAAGAAAAGAACAAAAAAATGCATAAAAATGATGTGATAAATAAGACATATTTGACTTTAAAATAAAAAGAAAGTGATAGTAAGAATTTTGTTAAAATAATATTATCTAATGTACTCAAACAAGACAGATCACAATATGACATGTTTAGTATTCTTTAATATTGACAGCGAAACGAAATACAATTACTAAAATTAAGGGTTATGCTACTACAAATATATATATAAAAAATAGATTGTCCGCTATGAGATTTGAACAATAATTTCGTATCCTGCTTCATAATTAATATCTAATGTTATATAATTTTTATCTCAGAGGTTTATATTTAAGGTTATTCGCACATGATTCAAATAACCTACATCACAATTTGACATAATTTTTATCCGCACATTGCGCGGGTACTGATACTAGTTATATTAAAAGGAGAGTAGTGAAACATGTGGTTAAGCCAAGTGGCAAGCTAAAATGAAGCCACTTGGCAATTTTAAGACAACATTAAAAATTTGAATTATAAATGAAAACATATTTAATGGAAGTAGTAGTACAAGATTTTCACTCAGCATATCCTCACATATGGCCCTCGGCCTCACTCAGTCCAGAAATCATCATAAGGCNACAAACAGTGCTTCCTACGGAACTCGAAGCCGGAGCTCTCTGACCGAAGAACAACGACGGAACCTCGGACAACACCTCGACGTACCGGACCTCGACGAACCAAAGTCGACCTCTACGGAAAACAGAAAACTCGGCCAAGCAGGATCGAAGCAACCCACCGTTGCTCGGAAACGCAGCTACGACTGCTTGGAGGTTGACGACGTTGGACTGAAAATGGCGGACTGATTCTGGAGGTTGACGACGGGGGGAAACTGTTGGTCGTGGTGTTGGGTGGTGATGGGAGGCAGTGGTCGATGGTAGTACGGTGAATTCTCCTTTTCTTTCTTATTTATGAAGCTTTGAAAAAATTCTATAACCATGATATGCTATTGTTCTTAATGTTTAATTCATTCATTTTCCACAAGTATATCATCATTTCTTAAAAGTAATTAGTATAATTTTCTGGTGAATTTGAATATTATAAGGTTCATCAAGTTGATATAAAATGAAGGCATTCTACGTTGTTCATAATTGGATAATGTGTATGCGCTATATGTAATTACAGATAATTATTGTATTTAAATTTTCAGTCAAATATTTTATAATATCATCTATCATTTATTTTGACTATTTTGATTTCAGCAGACTTCCTGTTTGCTTAAAGAACATAGAAAATACTCTTTAGAATATCTACAAATAAATAGTAATAGCTACAACTGTTAAATTTTAGAGAACCCGTGATCTTTGTATGGTAATTATCTCAATTGATTGGATCCATTTGATGCATTGTTCTTTAAAATAGACCATCAAGGACCGAGACACCTTCTTTGTAATATAAGATGGTATCGATTATCTCTTGAGTTATTTTCTCATTAGTGTATGCATTGAAAAAACATGATTTGAAATAGTATATATGTCTAGAAATAATGCCGAATTGAATTGTACTTTGTCTTTATTATGACTTAATTCTCATTTGCTTATTTCAAACCTTTTTATGCACTTTTTTTTTGCTTTTGCAAATAATAGAAGATGTTATTTGTATGGTATGCCAGGAATACAATTATTCAGATTTTTAACTACTTTTCTTTATTTAAATAGTAGTAATTTAACAGTTACAAAATTATTGAACATTTAGAAAAATAAAGATCAAATTACTTTTAAACAAAAATATTTTGTGTTGTTCTGTCATAGCTAAACTTAATTTTATTCTTATTTTTACCATTTTTTTTGTCTTCTCAACCGATTGAATTTTACTGAATCAATGAATTCCTAGCTATAAAATAAGAGTGTGAAAACAAATTAAATTTAATAGTTATACTAAGTATTGCATAATGCAACAACGAACTAACATGGTTTAAAAGGTTGAAAGAATAATATTTATTTTAGTTTGAGATGAGGAATTATTTTTGATTTGTGAAGAGCAACGATATACAATAAATAATGTTACACATCTTGAATCTAATTAAGTAAAGTCAATAATAAAAATATGTAATAATAAAAGTCCTCTGAGCAACACAGTGAAATGCTAAAAATAGAAAGAAATTTCTCATGCAGAAAGTTTTTAATAATTAAAATAAAATAGAAAAAAATATCATTAATAGACATAATACAAAATAAAAAAAATATTAAAACATTAGATAAAAAAGTAAATGAGGAAAACTAATCAAAACATCATAGTATAAAAAATATACAAAATAGGTCACAAAAATTTTAAAAATAAAATAAAGTAGGAAATACAAAATTATTATTTATATATTAAATATTCGAAAAACTATTAACAATATAAGAAACAAAAAATTTAAAAAGTAGGAGAAATAAAAATGTATATCGATATATAAAATGGAGTAATGGACAAGGATACTAACCCATTAATAAAAGCTTTTATATCTATGTAATAATACGAAATAGACGATAATGTAATAAATTAAAATAATAAATAGAAAAGTTAATTAAAGCTATATAATTAGTGTCCTTTAATTTTATTATTTTATTTTTGGTTACACTGCATTAAAGATACAAAATAACAGTTGAAATTTTATTAAAATAATATGATTAATATTTTTTTAATGTTATTCGCGCATCGCGCGGGTTTTAATACTAGTATTATATTAAAAGGAGGGTAGGGAAGCATGAGGTTAAGCCAAGTGGAAAGTTAAAAAGAAGCCACTTGACAATTTTAAGACAACATTAAAAATTTGAATTATAAAAGGAAACATAATTAATGGAAATAGTAGTTTAATAAGAATTATTTTTTACTTATGATACAAATCTCTATTTCATTTTTAAATAAAGATTTTAATCTGGAAAATAAATAACATATAGTAGTATAATTTAGTTAACTTTTTTTTGTATAATTATGGTAGGGACAAATTAAATTATGGTAGGGACAGATTAATTGATTAATTGATCAAGCTTTGTAACTGACTTTATTTTGGTACAATATACATTATTATAAGTATTTTTAATTAAAATTTTGTGTATCATTCAATTATGGTAGATATCATTTTTTGAAAAATAATCAATTAAATTTTCATTTTGTATCTTACACATTAATTTTAAGTTGAAATAATAATTCTTTATTTAGTACAAACTTTCTATTTGACCTTATTTGGGTAAAATATACATTACTGCAGGTATCTTTAATTAAATTTTGTGTATAATTAAGTTATGGTAAGTATCCTTTTTTGAGAAAGAATTAATTAAAATTTTATGTTGTATCTTACACATTAATTTTAAGTTGAAATAATAATTCTTATTTAGTATAAACTTTGTATCTGACCTTATTTGTAAACAATATACATTACTACAGGTATCTTTAATTAGATTTTGTGAATAATTCAGTTATGATATGTATTCTTTTTTTAGAAAGAATTAATTAAATTTTCGTTTGTATTTTATATCTATATTATATTAAAGGAAATAGTATTAAAAATGAACAAGAAGACATTTCTTGATCGCACTCGCTCTTACACATTAATTTACACATACTTTTTTTAAAATTCAGATGCCTACGATGGTCTTTCCTTAAAAATCTTTATTTAAGCAACTTTTGCTTAGGTTTGGGTTCTCTACATTACTTAGGATTTAGCTCCCACACAAACTACTGCAAAATATGACTCCAAACTATAACTATATATCATCGTCCAAAATGAGTTGGAATTTGAAGGTTCATGTTCTTAAATTATGGCACGTTCTAGAGCGTGAGAAACCAGAAAATCCTAACTTAATTGAATAAATTATTCAAGATGAAAAGGTGCATACTCTTTTACTAGCTATTATTTGTTCATGCCTTTCAAGTTGTGATGTATTTTCTTCAAATTATGCACCTTACTAACTTAAATTTCTTTTCGAATTTTTTGTTTTAGGGAGATCGATTTTAAGCAACTATTGGAAGAGGTGTTATGCATATTTTCAAAACAAAAATATATGAAATGAGATTGTATGTTATGAAGAACTTTGTGGTTGGACCAAACAATCTGAAAATTAAGACCAACAAGCATAAATTGAAATTGACGTTTTCACATAGGATGAGTGTGATGAAATTAATGATCCACAATTTAGTTTGAATATCTTCAACTTTAGAACTACGCGTATTTCTGGAAAATGCACTGCAATATGTCCTTGAGCATTTGCTACAATAATGTTCCCTTAAGCACATGCTTCATATCAAGTATATTGTATAGCATCATTATTTTTCGTGGAACATTCATATCAAGCAAATTGTATAGTATCATTATTTTTTATGTAACATTCATTAGGAGATGAAATGAAAGTTTTACTGGAGTCTCAAAGTGTTTTTAATGTTTGATTGTAAAGATGGTATTAATACTAACATATTAAACTTACTGTGTCGATCGTTCTTTTCAATTATTCGCGCATCGCGCAGGTTCTAATACTAGTTCATTTAAAAAGAACAATATCTTTCCATATTTAGAAATTTCTAAAGTCCAAACTTATTATTTTAAGCTTAATGACATGCTTTTATAACCGTAAAAATATCATAACATATTTAAAACTATAAGCTTTATGTACTTTTGGCATATGTCTAAAGTCCTTCGTCGTAATACAAAATAAAAGAGATGAAGTAAGAAAATTCATAAAAGTCATATAATCAACTTTAACTAATTTAGAATTGAGATGTAATTGGTTGATTGAAGTTGATTTTACTATGTCAGAAAAATTAGAGATTTTTTCAGTATCTATAGAGGAATAATGTAAACTGCAAATTATGGTAGAACCAATGGATAAAAGACAGAAACTGCATCTCAAATTTAAAAATATCAGGACCATATTTGCTAAGAAGCATTTTGGACTATTTATTAGCTAAAGTATTAGATATTGAAAAGGAAAAAAAATTTCATGTAGGATAAATAGTTTTTCGTACTCCGTCTTTACATCAAATTAAGTTCTGGTAGCTACTAGCTACCCAAAATTGTTTCTATTTTCTCACTTTTTCTAAAAATAGATTCTACATTTTCACAACAATATTCATGAACGCGTTTAAGCACAGCTCTAACAGCAGCACCACGTGTCATCTTCCGAGTAAGATTGTAATTCACAATTCCCCGGCACGAAATTAAAGAAATGTCAGTGACCCCTGCACTTCCATTTCCAGCCGTTTCAGTCCCCAGAAACATAAAATTCCGTCACCTAAAACCCCAAAAACTCTTCGTAATACGATCGTCATCGTCACAATCGCCGTCGATGGACACTCCACAACCGAAAAAGGTGGCGGTCTGCGGCGGTGGAGTCATCGGAGTCTGCACCGCCTACTTCCTATCAAAAAAAGGCGCCGCAGTAACCCTAATCGAGCAATCCTCCGTCGCCTGCGCCGCCTCCGGCAAGGCCGGAGGTTTCCTAGCCCTAGATTGGTGCGACGGCGGTCCCCTCGCCTCACTTGCACGCGCCAGCTTCAATCTTCATCGGTCACTCGCTGAAGAACTTGATGGGCCCCACTCTTACGGCTATCGTCCACTCACTACCCTTAGCGTCTCCGTCACCGAATCATCATCAGCTTCTTCCTCTTCTTCGTCGAACCAAACTGGGGCGGTTCCGTCTTGGGTTAACGGCCCAGCTAAAAGCCCAAGAACTATTGGATCAACTAATAGCACGGCCCAAGTCCATCCACAGCTCTTTACTAAAAGACTATTAACCAAAGCAATGGAGGAATATGGAGTTGAGCTGGTAATTGGTAAAGCAGAGAGAGTTGAAATGGTGGAGGGGAAAACGAAGGTAATTGTATTGGAAGATGGGAGAGAGATTGTGGCAGATGCAGTTGTGTTGGCACTTGGGCCTTGGACTAAGAGATTCTCTCTTTTGGGCTCGCTTTTCGGGGTTTATGGAATTAAAGCCCATAGCATTGTGCTGGAACCTAAAGAGCCGAATAGGATCACGCCACATGCGTTGTTTCTTACTTATTATCCGGCCCATGGTGGGAAGCCCATGGACCCGGAAGTTTATCCTCGTCCGACAGGTATTTCAGTTTTTACAGTTGGAACAATTATCAAGTACTAGATATATATAACATGAGCCTGATGTGTGTTATAAATTATTTGTAAGAGACTACATAAGAAAAGCAGTATTATTTACTGTAACAACAAAGCAGTATATTAGCTAAAACACCACTGAAATTTGGCAATTGTTATTAGAAAGCCCGGTGCACTAAGCTCCCACGACTCACGGGGTCATGAAAGTTGTTGAAATGTGGAATAACATAGATTTGCCATTCATCATAGGGGCCATTTGCATGAATAATTGAACTGAATAAGCTTTCACGTGTTGTAATATGGTGGCTTGCTAAGTATATTTAAGGGGTTCAATTGTATTTTTTTAGCTGGAAGTAATGATGTACGGTAAAAAGTAATTTTTTGTTTTAAAATGTTTAAAAATTGTTGAATCCCCTTGATAGTTAAGTGTCTGTGCTCTCTGTGCAAATTTGCATTTTCTCAAACCATTATGCTAGAAATCCAGGCTCCCTGTCTCCGATGTCACATTGTTATGTAAAGAAGTGTAGTATAAGCTTCCGTCTGTATGCTCATGTAATAGATAAGGTTAGAGTACCAAAAAGTGAGGTAAATTAACTTTTCTGGTGATTAGAGATAACGATGAGCTAATTCCTTGGTTTGTGTATAACTGGCTCTAGATAGTCGCATGCTATATATTACCTATGTACTCCCTGTCGAATAAAGGAAGATTTTATTGGTCCAATGTTGATCCCTTTTCTTGGCCGGATCATTTTTGTCCAGAAATGTACCTAATATTACCTTTGAAACTATTCCATAGTTCTGGTTTCAGTGAACTACCTGTTGTTAAAATCAAAATAAAATGACATAGCTGAGAAGCATGAAACAGATCTCCCCTTTAACTTTATTCCTTTCTGTATTATACACTAAAATGAGGATTTTATAGAATTGCTTGTTGAAAACTTTAGCGTTATACTTTTATGTCTTTCAGGGGAAGTTTATATATGTGGAATGTCAGCTCGAGAAGAGGTTCCAGATGATCCAGAGCAGGTAACTCCAGTTCCAGAATCAATAAACGTGCTTAAGAGAGTGGCTGCTAGTGTATCAAGCCATTTGGTGGAGGGGGAAGCAGCTGTGACGGCTGAACAGGCGTGTATCCTACCTTGCTCTGAAGATGATGTGCCAATTATTGGGGAAGTTCCTGGTATAAAGGGCTGTTATGTGGCAACCGGACATAGCTGTTGGGGAATTCTTAATGGTCCAGCCACAGGTGCTGCTATGGCCGAACTCGTTCTGGATGGACAAGCTAACATAGTTGATCTTAGCCAATTTACCCCCGCAAGGTTTGCTAGTGTTCTGAAGAAGTAAGATTGTTTTATACGAATCATCTAAGGCAAGACCGCTTCATATACTCAACACCAGAAAAGGCAAAAGAGCCACTGTCGAATGAAGAACTTATAGGATTGTTGTTCTGAGTTCTGAATTATTGCACAAATGTGTAGAGTAGAAACTGGCCACAGTTACATTTTCATTATCAGCACACAAAATGTGGATTCTGTCCAAGAAATAAGGTGTCTAGACACAAAATCAATATGTAGTGTCGTTGTCACGACCCCAGTTCGCCCTCTGTGAACTGTCGTGACAGCACCTAGTCTCTACGACTAGGTAAGCCTAACAAATGCGAAAAATAAACGAAACTTGCGGAAGAAATAATTAAAAGCCAAAATAACCCAATGAAACAGTATTTAAAATGCCGCTCTACATATACAATACAACTTCTCAAAAATAAATACACTTTCCCAAAACCCGGAATTTCATGAACCACAAGCCTTTGAATATCTAACAATGTCTAACTCCAGAATGTCTAACAAGAACAGAAATACAGAAGGGCTAATACTTAAAAGCGAGAATAGAAAAGGACTCCTCGTCTGCGGACGCGGCAGATATACCGTGAAGTCGCTGGAGCAGTTGCCTCGCCTCAAAGGTGATAGGACTGAGTCGCAGTACCTGGATCTGCACATGAAAAACATGCGCAGAAAGGGCATGAGTACACCACAGCGGTACTCAGTAATTGCCAAGCCTAACCTCGCTCGGGTAGTGACGAGGAAGGTTAGGGTCCTACTGAGGTTAAATAAAATATAAAGTTCAACAGTGTAGAACGGAACAATATAAATAAGTATAGCATTAAAAGTAACACAAGATATAAATGGGCAACAACAACTATTACAGAGACAAGGTAAACACAGAAAGAAATACGGTTAAGCACCAAAATAACAATTGGGGATCTCCCAGGATACCGTCCTGTAGTCTCAAATATACATATCCAATGGATCTCCCGGGATCCCGTCCCGTAGTCCAACTCATAGTGCGCGGGGATCTACCGGAATCCCGTTCCATAGTCCCAAATATAAACACCCAGTACTGGGAAAATCTACCGGGTGCATTCCCGTAGTTCCATATAACTGTGCATGGGGATCTACCGGAATCCCACATCCGTAGTCCCAAAATAAACAGACAAGGGGGGAGTTACCAGAATCTCACATCCGTAGTACCAATGTAAATACACAACAGCAACAAGAAACTATTCAGAAACGACAAATTTCATATTAAGGCAAACAAGTAATTCTAGCCTAGCATGTTGCACAGAGTTCAGGTAAGGCAGTTGGAACAATAAAGCAATTAAGTCACTTAGACATGCTTTCCTAAGCTAACAACATGCTTAATAATGCAAGTAATAAAATAGGAAAGGAAACATACTAGTAATTACTTGAATGAAAACCAGATTTCCAACAATTAGCACAAGTACGCACTCGTCACCTCACGTACAAGACATTTCAATTACCAAATATACCAAATCCTAAGAGGAAGGTCCCCCACACAAGGTTAGGCAAGCCACTAACTCGAACCAGCTTAAACTCAACTTGAAATCTTGTTCTTGCCACGAGTATTCGACTCCAAATGTCCTAAATCTATTCAATTCAATTGCATAATGTAAATAACACTTCAAATAACTGATTCTACAATTAAATTCTAATCTAATATGCGAAATTAGGTAAAATGACCAAAACGCCCCTCGGGCCCACATCTCGGAATCGGGTAAAATCTATATTTTCAGAATCCTCATACTCTCACGAGTTCATGCATACCAAAATTATCCAAATCTAAGGTCAAATTCCCAATCAAAAGTCGAATTTTAGGTCTAAGAACTTTCTTCCAACTTTTCCCCAATTTTCATCTCCAATCCGAAATTAAATGATAAAACTAGCTATAGAATGATGGAATATAACTAGAAAGGGTTAAAGAATTGTTACCCACCGATCTCCTCTTCAATTTCCTCTCAAAATCGCCCTCTCCCGAGCTCCAAATTGAATTTCCAACTTTTGAAACTAAACCCTCGAAACTTCCTATTTCTGCCCAGAAATCCCGCATCTGCGGTCCAACAATCGCATCTGCGATACCGCTTCTGCGGTTGGGGAACCACTTCTGCGGTTCTCACTTAAAAATTCCATCTCTCACCTGCGACCCAAAATCTGCATCTGTGGTCACGCAGGTGCGGTTCCTTATGCCGTTTCTGCGGTTCCTGGCCCCCTTCATCATTTCCACTTCTACGACCCATGAGCCGCTTCTGCGGCGCTGCACCTGCGGTCCCACACTCGCAGGTGCGTTTATGACAGAAAATCAGCAGTTGAAGCTGCAACTCCAAACTCCAAAAATCCTTCTGTCAACCATCCAAAATCATCCCGAGGCCCCCGGAACCTCAACCAAAAGCACCAACAAGTCTAATACCACTGTCCAAACTTGTACTAATCCTTAAAACACCTAAAACAACATCGAAACGACGAATCAACCACGAATTCAAGCCTAAGAACTCCAAAACTCTAAAAATACGCTTTCGATCAAAAAGTCTATCAAACCTCGTCCGAATGACCTGAAATTTTGCACACACGTCACATTCAACACTACGGAGCTACTCCAACTTCCGGAATTTAATTCCGACCCTCGGATCAAAATCTCACTATCAAACCGAAAACTTCAAAATTCGACCTTTCGGCATTTCAAGCCTAAATTAGCTACGGACCTCCAAAACACAATCCGAACACGCCCCTAAACCCGAAATTACCCAACGGAGTTAACGAGATCATCAGATTTTTATTCTGAGGCCGTCTTCACACTGTTCTGATTACGGTCAACTTTCCAACACTTAAGCTCTCATTTAGGGATTAAATATCCCAAAACTCTCCGAAACTCAAAACCGAACATCCTGGCAATTCAAAATAGCAGAAATAAACACGGGGAAAGTAGATAATAGAAATAAACATTCGTTCGTCCTCGAACGAGCATAGAGACATACCTGAAGTAGTGAAAAGATGAGGGTAACGACTGCACATATCCTGCTCGGTCTCCCCGGTCTCCCCGGTGGCCTCGACTGGCTGACCCCACCACTGAATCTTTACTGATGCAATGTTCTTTGACCTCAACTTTCTAACCTGCATGTCCAATATTTCTACTGGCTCCTCAACATAGGATAGATCCTTGTCCAACTGGACTGAACCAAAATCCAACACGTGCGACGGATCACCGTGATACCTCCAGAGCATCGAAACATGAAATACCGGATGAACTCCTGCCAAGCTGGGAGGTAATGCAAGCTCATAAGCGACATCCCCAACACGCCTCAATATCTCAAAAGGGCCAATAAACCTCGGACTCAAATTCCCTTTCTTCCTAAATCTCATAACGCCCTTCATAGGCGAAACCCGAAGCATAACCCGCTCTCCAACCATATAGGAAACATCACGAACCTTCCAATCCGCGTAACTCTTCTGTCTAGATTGGGCTGTACAGAGTCTATCCTGAATCACCTTAACCTTCTCTAAAGCATCCTGAACCAAGTCTATGCCCAACAATCTAGCCTCACCCAGCTCAAACCAACCCACCGAGGATCTACACCGCCTCCCATATAAAGCCTCATACGGTGCCATCTAGATGCTGGACTGATAGCTATTGTTGTAAGCAAACTCCGCCAATGGCAAGAACTGATCCCAAGACCCTCCAAACTCAATCACACACGCACGGAGCATATCCCCAAGAATCTGAATAGTGCGCTCGGACTGTCCGTCCGTTAGAGGGTGAGATGCTGTACTCAACTCCACCCGAGTACCCAACTCATGATGAACGGCTCTCCAGAATCGTGATGTGAACTGAGTACCTCTATCTGAAATGATGGAAACTAGAATACCATGCAAACGAACAATCTCCCAGATATAGATCTCCACCAACCTCTCCGAAGAATAAGTAGACACACAGGGATGAAGTGAGCGGACTTGGTCAACCGATCCACAATCACCCAAATAGCATCGAACTTTCTCAAAGTCCATGGGAGCCCAACTACAAAGTCCATGGTGATCCGCTCCCACTTCCACTCCAGAATCTCTATCTGCTGAAGCAACCCACCCGGTCTCTAGTGCTCATACTTAGGAGTGGAAAACGGGCGGGCCGGGTCGGATATGGTTCGGGTCGAAAATGGGTAATTAAAAAATGGATCAATTATCCTACCCGACCCATATTTAATACGGATAAAAAATGGATTTAGCCGGCGGATAATATAGGTTACCCATATTATCCATGACTTCTTGTATATGATCACTTTTGGGAGAATTCTTAGTCTCCCTAACTTGAGGAACCCCCAATTTGAGGCTTTACAAATGTAAACGTTAGACCCATTGGTTATCCATTTTCTAAATGGATAATATGGTTCTTATCCATATTTGACCCGTTTTTAAAAAGTTCATTATCCAACCCATTTTTTAGTGGATAATATGGATGGTTAACTGTTTTTTTAAACCATTTTGTCACCCTTACTCATACTTCACCTGCTGACAGTTAAGGCACCGAGCTACAAATCCAACTATATCTTTATTCATCCTCCTCCACCAATAGTGCTGCCTCAAATCCTGATACATCTTCGCGGCACCCGGATGAATGGAATACCGCGAGCTATGGGCCTCCTCCGGAATCAACTCCCGAAGACCATCAACATTGGGTACACAAATCCGACCCTACATCCTCAATACCCTATCATCACCAATAGTCACATCTTTGGCATCACCGTGCTGAACCTTGTCCTTGAGGACAAGCAAATGAGGGTCATCATATTGCCGCTCCCTGATACGATTAAATAAGGAAGACCGAGAAACCAAGCAAGCTAGAACCCGTCTGGACTCCGAAAGATCCAATCTTACAAACTGGCTGGCTAAGGCCTGAACATCCATCGCCATAGGCCTCTCTAATGCTGGAAAATAAGCTAAACTCCCCAAACTCTCCGCCCGGTGACTCAAAGCATTGGCCACCACATTGGACTTGCCCGGGTGATACAAAATAGTGATATCATAGTCCTTCAGCAACTCTAACCACCTCCCCTGGCGCAAATTTAGATCCTTTTGCTTGAACAGGTGCTGCAAGCTCCGATGATCAGTATAAATCTCACAAGGCACACCGTATAAATAATGGCGCCAGATCTTCAGGGCGTGAAATATGGCGGCTAACTCAAGGTCATGGACCGG